GAAATGTTTGTTGCATGAATGAACAAAACTACAGTTCTATTCTTACACAAAATAATTACTTAAGATGAGCACTTTTGAAAACAAAAATTGACCATCAGATTGGAAAATATTGATAGCTAATCCTGCACAGTTTCTTTTAAAGAACTACCTAGACTTCTGTCTACAAGTTAAGAAAGAGCACCAATTATTAAGGTCTAAAGCTGAAAACAAAACTCTTCATTTTGAATTTCTTTTCAGCATCCAGCAGGTTTTACATGAAAAATACAGTCAAAGCAATGCTGAAAAGAATATATAATTTACAAGAAGGAAGAAAGAAACTCAATATTCCCCTCCCCTGCCCATGCATACTCTTCAAATTTCCTTCAGCAATATGATTACCTTTTACCAATCATGTTTTCAGAACTAATAGGAATGATTAGAAAAATGGCTCAATTTAAAGCACTATGTCTTTTTAGTAACTACAACACTTAATGTAGTCAATAAAGAACTGCTCTTTTAGCTGGGGATTTAGCTCAGTGGTTCCACTTCTGCCTTGTAAGTGCAAGGTCCTGAGTTCATCCCTGGTACCAAAACAAACAAACAAACAAAACAAAACAGAAGAACTGCTCTTTTAGTCACAGGAAAATCTCAGAAGCTCTCCTAATTTCTCTTGAGTCTGGATTGATACAAATTATCTCTACTGTGAACTAATTCAAGTAGTTAGTGGAACCAGGAAACTAAAATCAAAAAGCAGTGACTTGAGTTATCTTTATGTAAAAAATATACATACATAACCATAACTTTAAACAACTACAAAAAATCCTAGTTAGTAGTTTCCATGAATTATACAGCTTGTTTCATTATAATCCCTTGATTTAAGAAAACAAATATTTAATAAGGTCATTAAGAGGCATGATATATATCATGCACAGGTGCAAATACCCTATGATGGGTGTTATCATTATGTATGCCTAAAATGTACCAATACATGCTCCACTTCAAAAGAAAAAAGAAAAAAGAAAAAAGAAATATTCATCTCATATATCCCTGAATTAACCCTGAATTATCTTCTCTAAAATTTAATATTTTGTATGTGGTTTAAGTCATGCAATAGCTAAAGAAATAAAAAGATGAGTAAGCAGCCAGCCAAAAAAAATAACCAAACCCAAGTGAATATGTTATTGTTTTAACAAGGTATTATTATATACATTGGTTAATAATTTTTTATTTTAGTAAAACAGTAGTAGGCACAACGTTTCAGATCAAAGTCAAGATTCATTTGTTATTAACTTCTAATAAAGTTAAGAAAGGTTTATGATGTCATATTTAATGGACGCTCAAAATATTCATTTCTTTTCTTTACTACAGAGCAAAAAATTATGTTGTCTGGATCTTCCCTCTCACGTTCTACCTGGTCAGGATCCAGCATCACACAGATAGGGACTATCACAGGAGTACTTGTCATTAGGTATGTGGAACTGAATATGGAAAACAATTTTTCATGATAATTAACAGCTTATATCTTCAAAGCATTTCAAAATAGCACTGGGTTGGGGGAGAGAAAGAAACAAAGGAGGAATGAAAGAATGAAGAAATCTACCCATGTGGAATTCTCAATGCCTGCTGATTCCAAAATAGCTTGCCAAACGTACTGGAGGCTGTGTTGATTTCCTTTCAATAAGAAAACTTATTGCATTAGGTTCAGGCAGTGCTCTCAGCTCTCAGTCCTCTTTGCAAATTGTCTCAGCTGAAGAGCACCCAACACATTTTCCAAACATCTAAGATTAGGTCAACAAGAAATTATTAGGGTCCAACCCATCACCCAAATTTGAGCTCTGAAGAGCATCCTAGCTTAGAATTCTCTATCAGATCTACTAAAACCTTCTTCAGGAGCAGATTCTTCTGCCTCCTCTTCTCATTCTTTCTTTTTCCTCCCTCCCCTCTACATATGGCCGACCCATAAGCAGTCTTTAAATGAGCCTCTTGCTGCCTGATCTCCTTCTCAAGAGTCAGGTTCTCTTGAAATGTAAACTGTGAATCAAGCATACCAGAACATAGAGGGTGCATAGATTAGTCCCTGCCTGTGGTCAATCATTCTTTACTAGAATGTACTTTTTAAGCCACTGAAAAAATGATTTTAGAAAAATTTTAAGTTCTACATATTTTCTCATATGTACTCAGTTTCTAACAAATGCCACATAAACATTCATATACATCAGCTCAGATTCTTGGATTGCACACAATGTTTGTGCTGTTTGCTCAGGCTACATCATGATAAGCATGGAGAATGTGCTGAGAGAACTTTGCTTTGCAAAATACTATATGCAACTTGCGTGCCTAATATTCAATGTTATCATATTCACGATATCATTGTTAATTAACTAAGAGGTTAACTGTGGCCTGTTAATTTCCTTAGGATTGTATACCATTTGATAGAAATCTCAAAACTCTATTAGTTTGTCAATTATTTTTAAGAGAAGAGGAATTATGAAAACTTCTCAACCATTGTCCAAATCTCAAAAGTTCCAATAACTAGAGCCCAGGAAACACTTATTTCAATACAGAAGTTCAGATCTGATTGCTTCTTTTCTTTTCTTTTCTTTTTTATTGTACCGGTGATCGGACTCGGGACCTTGGGCTTGCAAGGCAGGCGCTGGAACCACTGAGCTAAATCTCTGGCCCTGATTGCTTATTTCTTAAAAAGTGAAATCATGGAAACTGTCAGAAATATAAATGCAGTTAATATAAGATTGACAAAAAAGAGATGCTGAATTCTCTTACTTCTTGAACCAGTGATTCTCTCTTACCAAATATGTATCTTAGAGTTGCACAATATATAAATACCACTTATCTGACTTGTTATTCAAAACAAATTCACCAATATTTAATAATAGTAATTAGAATTGAAATGTCACATTCCAGAAACATTTCAATGCAAAAAGACACTTTATAGAAAGTTGAATTTCTTAAAGATATTATCCAATATTTCACAAGTGAAATTTATAAAATACTTCTATTGATTTAGTTCACACAGCTGCATATTGAACTGATTATTCTTCAATTAAATGTTAAGCAAAGAATGCTTTCAAAGATAGTGATTATATTTGAGGATGTAATAGGAGTATAAATTCCTTCCTTGAAAGATCATCTGAAACTAGGTGAAGTGACATTCATATGTGGAGGTGGAGGGAGATGAAAATGATCAGAAGATAAGCACAGTACCCTACTCTGTAGGACTGGAGACTCAGTGACAAGTTACAGAAGAAGAAAACGAGGGAGAAACACCTATCTAAAAATTATTCCTGTTACCAATTTAGCCACAGAAGATTTACCCCAATATTCACCTTCCCAATCTTCTCTCTGGAGATACTTCAAAATCAATAAAAAAGTGGCTTCAAATGTACACTTAACTGTAATTAGAACTTAACTCACTATAGTATCCATTTATGGAGGACAAAGGGTACAGAGGAGTGAACAAGGAGAGAGGGACAGGAGAAAAGAAGGAAAAGGAGAGGAAAGGGGAGAAAACAGAGGAGGATGGAAGGGACAGAATGGAGGAATAAGGAAGAGAGAATGACTTTTCACCTAGCACTTAGCACTGCCTGCTGCTTTCAGACTAAATCCCCATTTATTAAAGAGTTGAGTGTCACTCATCTATTTCCCTGACCCTGGTCATTTGCCCTTAACAAAGGAACAGCTTACAGACAGACTTTGTGGTTGAAGTGCTTTGTGAGTGTGAGTGCTTCCTCTCCTGTCTGGGTGCTTGAGTGTGTGTGTTCATTTGTACCAGGAAGGTCATTACTGGCTTTTTCCAGAATTACTGATTTAACAAATGGGAAGAGTTCACTGCTTATTTTGTATATTGTTTTAATAGATTTTTGGAGAAATAATACAAATAGCACAAAACCCATCAATTTAAAGGGTAGAGTTCAATAATATTAGTATATTCAGGATAGTGCATCCATTACTACTATTTAAAGGATTTCTATTATTCTATAAAGAAACCTCATACCCTTCAGCTGTCAATCACTAACTCTTTCTTCCCCAGCCCCCTGTCTAGGCAACCACTCATCTACTTTCTGTCTCTATGGACTGGTCTCTTCTGGACATTGGATATAAAGTGAACTGTGCACTATGTCATTTTGGTTTCTTTCATTTAGCATAATGCTTTCAAGGTTTATCTATGTAATAGTATGTATTACTACTGAATTATTTTATTGTTCAATTATGTTTCTTGTATGAATACATCACACTTCTACTATTCATCACTTGATGGGCATATGGATGTCTACTATAAATAACTACTGCTATGAACACTTGTGTTTAAATTTTGTGTGGTTATATGTTTTCAAATCTCTTGGAGAGATACCTAGGAGTGAAGTTGTTGGATCACATAGTGACTAAAGAAACGCACTAACCTATATATTTTCAATTCATTTCAATATGTCCAAATATAATTATTTGGAAAAAGTTTTTTCTTATTATATGATTCAATTTGCTGCTCCATATTTCAGGCCAAAGCTTCTAGGTACAATGGGCTTGGATATTCCATGAATTAACACTGGAAGCTCTTGGTAAGCAAAAAGCATTAGCTGGACAATATATGTCATTCTTTTGATATAACATATAATATATTATCGATGAAATTCATTTTTAAATTTCCTTTAAGTCAGAAGTACATAATGATAAGTTTCTCATTATAATGCCCTGCATGTTATTTTGTTGCTCTGGAACTTCAAATGATGTTGGAAAAATGATCTCACTCCTAATAAAAGTATGCAATATTTTACATACATGTAATATTTTACAGTCTATCAGTAGCTCCAACCTGAAACATAATCATTTGCCCCTTTGGTTGTTTAAAGTAAAAATTCTCTTCTTTCAGGGATAGGAAAACTAAGATGTTACAGGTATAGCTGCTTGCAAATATTTGTGAGTTACAGAGCTGGGTGGCACTTCATCCAAACTCCAAAGTTCAAGTCAACAGCCCATTCAGTGGTAACTATTTTAGTGAACAAAGATCTCCTGACTATGTCTATTTGTCCAAATTCTACTCTCTCATTTCATTTCTATTTCCCCTCACCCCACACAACACATACATGACTCAAACCTCATAAACAATGCATGAAAGTGCACACATCTCACACAAATACACATATCACATAGTTTTCACATACTACAGAAACACACACATTTACCTCATAAACAGAACACATTAACATATTCACTCTCCACACACACGCACACCTCAAAGACACACAGAACACAGTAAAATATACACATTTCACTCACACACTTCCATATATACCTGTCACACCACACATATACGTACCTCACAGACACACATAACACATGCCACACACACTACACTCACATAAAAACTCATGCATTTAACATTCATATATATAAACACAAATCACATATAAATCTCACATACATGCAATCAACTCACAGGGACACACATGTATGTTCACATACAGGGAAGAAAAGTTGTGAATGTGGTCCATCAGGTTACAAGACATTAGACTATATTCTCCAGGGAAGGACACAGACTGGTAAGAGAACTTGTCATACTCTCTCATAACCGTTCTTTCTCCAGTACTAGCCAGGTAGGTTTGCCACCTGTCTTGCTAGAAAGCTTCTCTTATGTATGTGTGTTGTATGGGTGACCAGAAAGCAGTAGAGTCAAAAACAGGTACCTAGGTTTTGGGGAAATTGTCATCCTTCCTCATACCTAAATCATGTACAGTGAAGCAGGGGGGAATTGGGTATCATTGAACCATTAACCATATCACCATCATTAGTTGTAAGAGTTCTAGGAAGTTTCTTAAACTTCTAAATCTCAGTGTCTTTTTTGTAATAATAATAGCACTGATCTCTGACAGCTGCTGGAAGGCCTATGGGCAAATATTCCATATAATATTCCATACTAGGCAGGTGTTAACAATTCAAAAGTTGTAGCTATTACTACTATCATAATGATTTTCATTCCCCCAAAATAAGTACTTAGAAAGGTAATTAGACAAGTCTTTTTGAAAAGATACATTTTAAAAAGACTATTTGAAAATGATATCTTTATAAGTAATATAACCACTTGCTATATTATAATTTTTATGAATAGTCATAATTCTTTACTATTATAATTGCTAAAATTGAAGAGTGTCTCAGGAAGCATAATTTATTTCTCCCAATTTTTAGCAGCACTGAAACTCTGGAAAATAAATTCCATGAAATATTTGGTATTTCCTTTTTTTTTTAAAGCAAAAACATTTATTGGTACATATTAAATATACATTATGATAATATTCATTATAGGGAATTTGTACTTGTACATGATATAGCTTTCTTCATTTTTTTTTCTTCCATCTTGCCAGTGAGGACTTTTTCATCACCAATAAATTAAGTATTGTGTGCTTTTGTCTTACTGTCTGAATCTTTAAACCTCAAATAAATCTATGCCATTGACCACATGGACGTTTTAGATTAAATTTCTAATGAAAAATAAATTTGTCCATTTACTTATTGAAAAATAACAGCACCTTGTATTTTTTCTGTTTATAAAAATTATACCACCCATACATACTATCTATATATTTACATGTGTATATAAACATTTAATTTGGTGAAAAGGTGTTGCTAATATATTGATATTTAAATTCATGCAGAATATTACTCAAGAAGGCAGTCCTCCAAATTGGCTCCCATTCATGTTATTATAAAAACAGATTCATAAAATAAATACTAAGATATACAAATCATCTGCAGGCCAAAAATTGCTACTATATTTTACATGTTGCAGTAAGGCTTTTTTAAAAGTTGCACTTTTATTCCATAATTACTGTTTTAAATGTAGCAATCTGAATTTAATCAGTGTTTTATGTTGACTCTGCAAAGTAATAAATGCTTATCATATAGTTATGAAATTATTTGAATTTCCTTAGTACATAAATTTCACATTGGCTTTAAATTTTCTAAGTGAACTTGCAAACAGGTCTAGACAAAAACTGAAATTATTTTTTGCTAGATTACTCATATGGTGAAGCTTAATTATAAATGTTTATCAAATTGGAATCACTACATTCAGAAATAATTAGAGATGTCATTTACTGTTTGCATATTTATGCCAGGTTGAGGAATAACCAAATTTTAAATACTGCATAATCTTATTTAATCATAATGCACTAATAAAAATTATAGGAGAGTGATTTTATTTTCTATACCTTACAGATTCAATATAATAATGAAAGACCTAAAGCTCATGAATATGCTACTTATTATAGTCTTACATTCAAAAAGTGTTGATATTGGATTGCTAAACTCAAACCCCAAGCTTTAAAACTTTATAGTCCATCTACCTAAGAACCCAAAATTGAGACCCAGACTTCACAATAGGCAACTTGGTTGTTTAGTGGTTCTTGGATGACTCCAGTGGTCAGTAATTATAAACTACCAGTGCTACAGAAAAATTTTTACAACATGGCTAAAATCTCTGGTTGAAATCTATAACATATGCATTCGTACATGCATGTGTGCATGTATGTATGTATGTATATATATTTTTTAAATGTGGTGTAAGTTAGACTTTTTACTATCATGTCTTTTATTATCCACAGCTATATGCTCCAGGGAGAGGTTCACTCTCAAGGTTGATCTCTATGCTGAGAAGGAATATGTTTAATCAGTAAATAAAAGTAGATTTACAGGTTTCTAACAAATGCTTGATGGGAGAAATTGTTCAGAGTGAATCACTTAGATGAGTGAACACACATCAGCAAAGAAAAAAAAAGACTTTAAACCTAAGCACTTAGGGACAAAGTGTTAGTAAAGAGAAATGACTAATCACATTTTGGTTTCTTTTGCAAACTAGCTGAGTGGGGAAAATAATGATGAAAACCAAAACCACATGTGAGAATTTTTTTTTTTCAAAGTGGGGCTTCTAGGCCTTTCCAGCAACAATGCTATGAAAGATGAGATTAAGAGTTTTAGTGGGTAAGGAGCCTTAAGGACAATTTACTCAGAAATACTCTTGTTACTCAGTACTTTGTTCCAGCTATGCACTTTCTCTGACAGTTTAGTGACACTAACATCTCTGTCAAACTGCCTAGAGGTTTACGTATGTTGAAATAAGTCACTTATTATAACACCTCGTTTTACCCATCTAAAGGCAAGCTTTCTGTGGTGGTATACACAAACTAGTCTAAGCCACACAGTTCCTTCTTCAGTTCTGCTTGCTTCAAGAAAACATCAGTTAAAGGACTCCTCCTCTCTGATGAGCCTCTCAAGCTCAGCGGTTGTGGCTCCTGCCTCGCAAGCACAAGGTCCCAAGTTTGATCCCTGGTGCCAAGAAACCAAAACCAAAACAAAACAAAAACAACCCCCCCCCGATATTTTTAAAAGAAACATTGAATGAGTAACTTTGACATTTTAACCCCTTGGAATTGTATTCTTATTCTGAAGTGGCAGATGTTATTCCAATAAAGGCCTTTCTATCCAATGTTTGGTAAGCAGAACTCATTTTGTACCAGTTTAGGCTTCAGATAAAAAGTTTACCTTCTGCACGTTTTGTTTTATTTTCATGAAAACTGTATTTAAAGCCACTTTTGTTTATTGTCTCTTTCAAGGAAAAATGTCTGAAAATTCTTTCTTCTTTTCTATTTTCTCCTTTTCAAAACCAATTTATTTTCTAAAATTGAAGAGCCAACTGACAAGAGAAGTTACAGTAACAAAAGGAGATGACATTTTTGTCTTTTTAAGAACAAATGAAATTCTGCATTCTTATATGGCTTTCTTTTGGGGGATGGGTAACATTAAAACCTCAGAGATTAAGAATACCACCTTTAGCCCGGGATTTAGCTCACTGGTTCCGCTGCCTGCCTCGCAAGTACAAGGTCCCAAGTTGGATCCCCAATACCCAAAAAAAAAAAGAATACCACCTTTATAAAAATGATGCCAAATTTGACTATCAGGCCACCTCACAAATACGATCTTCTTTCAATGAAGGAGAGACAATCAGCAAGGCTAAGCAAACTAGTTACTGAAATATCCCCCGTTGTCATATGAATGGTAAAAAAAATTTGGTATAAAGGGCTCAAAGAAAGTTATTGCGAATTTCAAATCCTGAGTATTGTGCCTAAATTCACCATGAGAATATCTATTTTAAAGATCCTGGTCATTATTTTTTTATAGTCCAATTCACCACTCAGATCAGATCAGAATGCCTGGAGTAACCCCTACTGGCCAGTCCTGGTTATCACTAGTGTACAGGGTGTAGTAGAAAAGGTGAGTTCTGTGCAGCTGCAGCCCCTGGGAGCATTTCTCCAGCACCGCATCCTACAGTGGGATCATGACCTTCTCTTTCTTGTGTTAGCAAGGTCCTGTAGAGAACTTTCTAAAGACGTAGCATGTTCTACTTTCAAGAAGTCAAGTTTTAATAAACATATTTATAATTTTATGTTTTCTGTGAGGTAAATAATATTGAACAATCAACAGAAAAAATGAATTTTGCTCAAATTAAATAATTTTCATTATTTTTATCTGAAGGAAAATTCACAAAAGATGTTTAGAAACTCCATTTCATGTTGCACAGTCTTTGTTCAAAATGCTTAGGAGCAGAAGTATACAGATTTCAGATGTTTTCAAATTGTGGGACATTTGCTTATCTATAGATCTCTCTTATATACAGATATCATGAAATACCTTGAGGATGGGACCCAAGTCTAAACAAAAAATTTATTTATGTTTTTATAGACATAGCTGAAAGGTAATTTTATACAATATTTTTCAGGTATACCTGAATTTTGACTACTATTTGTCACATAAAGTCAGGTTCTATTCATGACATCAGGTTAGTGCTCAGTGTTGTTGGTTTTTTTTTTCAAGTTTGGAATATTCTGCATTTTAGGTTTTCAAACTCAGGATGCTGAACCTTCACCTTGTCCAAGTCAAGGGACTAGACAGGATAAAGGATTAACAAAATAGAGGCAGTATCATTAGGATGGTAATTTACATGCTAAAAGTTCATGACAGATAAAGTGAGATAGATAAAATGTAGAGTGTATGGATCATCCAACCATACACGCTACATTTTCCTTGTTTACAAAGCATCAAAAATGACTCTATGGTTTTGTATAAATAACATGAAGATTCTTCTGGCATATTCACATAGCGAGAAACAAACTTATATTCTCTGAGCTAAAACTGGCAAATAAGGGCCGGAGATTTAGCTCACTGGTTCTACTGCCTGGCCCGCAAGTGCAGGACCCGAGTTCAATCCCCGGTACCAAGAAAAAAACCTGGCAAATAAACTTATGGACAAGAAATTTACTATCCAATCCAATTCATTTTTCCATATCAAGATATCCAGGCAGAATCTAAACACAATCTAGAACAAATCACATATAGGTTAAGAATCTCACTTCTTCCTGGCCCACTACCTCTCTTGCCTTTACAGATTTGTAAAACTTGAGTTCAAATGAACTATGAGGGATTCATTTTATAAGTGAAAATATGCAAATAAATACTATAGCTCAGGAAAATGCTAGGGAGGGGATAGGCA